TTAAGTTTAGAGTAAGTCACCCGAGGAGGGGTCCGCCTAGCTGTACTGTGAGAACTGCTTTCCGAGAACCCTTATGCTAGCTTTGGGTGGTGGGCTGGCAGCCAGATTTGCACCTGGCCATTTTAAACCCGTCTACACCTCACATCACTCTGGTACTTGTCCCCTGGGATGGGGAACCCAAGACCCACCTGCCCTAAAGAGGCATAGCTCTTAAGTGTGTGCACCTGTTACACGCTTGAACCATCCCCCCTTGCCTCATGGTCCAGATCCCTTAGCTCCGCGCATTGGCGCTACTGCATGCCGAGCCTGTAAAGCCACTACTGCACCAGAGCCACCTTGCCGGGGGGGGGGGGGGGGCCGGGTGCAGATCCCCAGCTGCCAGCAAGCCACACCTCCACCCCCAGTGCTGGATCCCACCCAGCTGTGCTGTAAAGCCCCCTGCTTGTGTCAAAGAGTAGACGTGGTGCAAAGCCCTTCTGATTAACCTTATTTCTGAGAATGGTGTTGAAGAGATGTTTTTATAGTCAGATGCTTGGAACCTTCTAATTCTTGAAGACTCTTTAGTGCGACACGGAAAGCTTTCTCTATGGGAAGTTGTCCATCTGAAATCAATGTGAGGGCTTTATCATCTGGGTGGTTTGTTTCTAAATTGAAGTCTCAGTGAAATGAGCTTTGGATTTATGGTCCAGATAGAAACTAAATGAGGGTATTCATTGATACATTGATTTCTTTAAACGGGAACATTGCCTGGTTTTTCCCGGGAAGAGCACTTTGAACCTCAGCGGCCCCAGAGCTGTTACATGCAGAGTGGGCACAGCTGGTGAGTTCAGCTACTGGTCAACCACTCTGGCATCCCCGCCCTAGAACTTCCGATTGGATTCAAAGCAGCGCACCATACCCTTTTCCTTTATGTGTTCCTAGAACATAGCCGAGTTCCACCAACTGGAATTACAGTTTGGATACCTACATGATTTTTTGTCTTGGTGTATTTTAAGTGTACTAGAATGTAAAGCCTTTGCAGTTCAGGTTTTTAAAAGCTGGTACAGTATTTGCCACATCGGATGCACTGTTTCAATTGAGAATTAAAATGAGAGGATGTTGGCTCTACGGTCTCGTTTTGATTTCCCTCTTTTAAGAATATTAGATTTTTCTTTGATAAAAACTTCGTAATAATAAACTGCAGGAATTGACTCGCTCTTATGTGCCCAGAAGAATACATGTATGTCAAGTACCTCCACATGATTTCAGAGCTCTGGTGGCACACTCAGTCAAGTGCTGGGCTGCCAACCAAAAGGTTTGTGGTTTGAACCCCCCAGACACTCCGTGAGCGCAACCAGCAGCAGTGTGATTCCATGAATTTGACACAGCCTTGGAAACCCAATGGGGCAGCCCTTTTGTCATGCTGTCAAATCAGTTCCGACTCCTAGCGACCCTGGCCTGGCCTAGGTCATCCTCACAATCTTTGAGCACATTCTGGTTGCCGCTCTGTCAATCCATCTCATTGGGGGGAGGGGGGTTCCTTTTTTGCTGACCCTCTACTAAGTATGCCCTTCTCCAGGGATTGGGCCCTCCTGAAGAGTTCTTCTGCAGCAGACTTGTCTAATGCATGTCATTTCATTTCTTGACTGCTGCTTCCATGAGAGTTGATGGTGGATCTAGCAAAATGAAGGCTTGGGCAACTTTAATCTTTTGTACACTGATATGAATGCTGTTTATTGATCCAGTGGTGACGATTTTTGTTTTCTTTACATTGAGATGCAATCCATATTGAAGGCTGTGGGCTTCATCAGTAAATATTTTTAAGTCCTCTATCACTTTCAGCAAGGAAGGTGTATAATGTGTGTTTCACAGGTTAATGAGTCTTCCTCCAATCCTGATGCCACATTCTTCATACCATCACCCAGCGTCTCAGATTAGTTGCTCAGCATACAGATTGAATAAGTATGGTGAAAGAACAGAACCTTGGTGCCCACCTTTTTTTGATTTTGAACTATTTAGTGTTCCTTTGTTCTGTTCAGACAACTGCCTCTGGGTTTCTGTATGGGTTTCTTAGGAGCACAGCTGAGTGTTCGGGAATACCCGTTCTCTGCAATGGTTTCCAGTGTTTACGATGGTCCACACAATAGAATGCCTTTGCATAGCCAATAAAGCACAGGCAGACATCTTTCTGGTATTCTCTGCTTTCAGCCAAGATCCATCTGACATCAGCAATGATATCCCTCATTCCATGTCCTCTTCTGAATCCGGCCTTTGTTTCTGGCAGCTTCCTATCGAAGGACTGCTGCCACCATTGTTTAATATCTAAAGCAATGTTTTTCTTGCATGTGATACGAATTATATTGCTGGATGATTTCTGCAATCCTTTGGCTCAGCATTCCTGTAGGATTGCTTGAGCTGGAGTTGACTGGATGATAGTGGGTGGGACTTGCATGCTTTGTTCTCATGAAATCTTCAATGTGATCATACATCCGGGCCTATAAGGCTAAGAGCCGATTTTCAGATCTGAAATGCCGCTAGACTCTAACCTGGAGGAAGATTTGTGTCATGGGGTGGGGCAGTGGGGACACGCAAGCATCAGTGTAGGTGCTGTGTTCTTTGCGGTCGAAATTGGGTCAGCTTCTCAAGAAGCACGTGGGCCTGCCTTGCCTGGTTTAGTTGAGGGACTCAAGGCTGGATAGGGTGGGTGAAGCGACACTACTTCCCACAGGTCACTCTTTGCCAAAGGCCCTGTGTCCCCTAGTGAGTGAGATGATGTTCGGTGGAGGCGACCCAGGTGACTTTTGTCAGGCAGTTTTGTCCCCTAGGTCTGACTAAGTGATATTTTACCAGCCTGGTTTGGTACAAATACGCCCTCTGACCATACTAGGCAGCCTGCAATCACTGCACATGCAGCAATGCCTGGCTCTCCTCCTGGTTCACAAGGCAAGCCCTCCAAACACTGCTAGAGGCCTAGGAATCCTGCGCGTAGGCTTCCAGCTACTACTCAGCTACTTCTGGGTGGCACTAGCGGGCTGCCAGCTTCCTACAGGTGGCTTTGAGCACACCCCTCCACATCTCCAGGCCTTGGCTTCTCTGTACATTGAGTCCTGACGCTAAGCTGCTCATTGAGGGAATGAAGGCACAATGTTCTAGAGAGCGCCTTTGGCCTCAGGACGAACGGAATGTGGTGTTCCACTCACAGGTGGAAATAGCATCACTCAGCAAAGTACCTTAACACCATCCAAATGCAATGGTCTGTCAGGCTGGACTTGGTTTAAAGCAAACACTGGACAGTTTATAATTCATTTACACACATGCAGAAGAGGTGCAGGGAACTGGTACCAATCTCCAGGCCCAAGCTGGCCAATGCTGAGGCTCCGGCTGGAGGAACAGGTGCCCTAGGCTACATGCTCTGGGAACAGGAGGCGGACGATGCAAGTGAGGGGTCAGCCTTTGGGGTCCAATGTCGACTACAGTGAGAACAGCTCCCAAGTGCCCCTTGGCGGAGTGGGATAGACATGGGGGCTGCAGAGCTCCTACACCATCATGTGTGTTGCTAAAGCAAGCAAACATCTCTTTCCTCCTCATCAATCTGGAATTTTTTTTTTTTTAAGCAAATCCCAAACATGCTGCTAGCTTCAATGCTCCTTGATGTCTGTATCTTTGGTTACACAAGTGGAGGGTTAGTATCTCCCCTACTACACCCATCAAGCACACCCACTCCTTACATAATGGCTCGAAAGACCAGGTTCTAAGACCAGGCCATTGTGTGGAAATCAACGTTATGCCAAAATAGAGGATGACCATGTGGCATTGCAAAATGGAAGTGACTGCCATATGACTGAGATGCTGGCGCATTCACACTGATACTTACCTAAGCATCACAGCCAACAGGACGCTTACCTTGCACCTCAGATGGACGTCATTAATGAGCCAAATGATTGGAATTTTTTTACTAGCGTCAAAAATCTGAAATGTTGACTAATAAGATAGTCACTAAATGAGAAATAAGTGAGTGTGACTCATTTCCAATGCATAAATGAGCCTAAGAAACGTTCATCATGTGAGCCTTCAGACCCAACTAATTCCTGTGGAATCACGGGATTTAGGCCTGAAAGTCACAGCTTCCTACTACTTATCTGGAAGAGTCCTCAATTTTGAGAGTGAACTATCATGAGATGCACGTGTGCACTTTGTTGTTTGTTGTTAATTGCCGTCGAGTCAGTTTTGACTCCTGGTAACCTTGTGCAGGGTTTGCGAGGAACAGTTACTGGATTTTGAGCCACTGACCTTGAGATTCAGACACCCCACCAGGACTCCCTGTCTGCACTTAAATCCCCCAAAAGTCTCTACTTAGCTCGGCTCTCTGGAAGTCCGGCACTGAAAACCTGTCATCCAAAAGACGACCAAGATGCAAATGTCCTGGATGGGGTGGGGTGGGGTGGGTGTGTGTGTGTGTGTGTGTGTGTGTGT